GAAATAGGGCAAATTATTTCCATCAAAAAAATAGCTAAAAATCTGTCAAAAGATTGTGTTAAAAGAAACAAAACTAATAAACTGATAAAAKACCTTGTCTTTGCCCGTAGTCATCATTATAATAAAATATATACGCCTTTACTTCTCTAGTCAATTTGAAATGAGTAAACTGTGTGACTTTTTCTTGATTTTTTATTTCATCTTGTGTTACTGAATTCAGTTTAACAAATAAATTCTCTGAATCAAATATTTAAAAGTTATTAATTCATATTTATAAAATCTTAAAATATTCTTTTGTATAAACGTTATTTCGTTCCCGACTGAAAACACTATAATGGCGAATTTTACTTTACAATAATTGTGGTTTTTACAATTTTAGCCGAAAAAATAAATACTAGCTTCTTTTTAGTTTACAATTGCCCTCAATTTTGCACACTTAATCACTTAATAATCGGAAAAACCGATGTTCACTAAAAAAGAAATTATTTATCATATTTGACGTTATAGTTTACATACAACGTTACATTTCTTTCTATAATTGCGGAAGATATTTTGAATTTGATCATATATTTTGGCGAGATTTCACTAAAAGCTAGAAATCTCTTACAGATTTGATTTTTTATTGATTTTTATATAACTTTGATATTGTTATATAATTATATAGTTTTTTAGCTTTCAGCATTGCAGGATGAATGCTTTTGGTTGTGCGATTCTTTCCATTTGCCTTCTCCATTTCAAGTACCAGAATGGAATGAGGGTAGTCGTGAAGATAGGAATGAAAGCACAGGACAGACCCACCAAGTTCGGTACGTCGTCAGAGATTGAAAAAAAGCTTTCCAAGACGTACGGGCACCAACTTATTAAGAAAAGGCCAACTGCGAACTGGAGTCGGATTTGAGAATAGTCAGCCTCTCCATCATCATCACTGTCGTCTTTTGACTGCTCGAGGAGTTGTTGCTTGGACTTTTCCTCTTGGATTTCGTCGTTGCCTTGATTGAAAAGGTTGTACACAAGGAATGACACTGGCATGAGGAAAATAACAGAGGCAATTAGTGTGAACGTTAAACCAGAAGGAGGCCAGTCCACTTGGCAGAACGCTTTGCGAGTAATAAACACGTATTTACTCCACAAGAGAGAGAGTGAGTAGGACATAGTGGTGTGAGCAATGATGTACCCGAGAAGAGCTGGGCGGTTTGAGTTCCCTTGTTTCCCGGAGTTAGTCGCTGTAAAGTACTGTTCTGTACTAATTGTCACGAGGGTCGAGACAGATACAATGATGTAGATGACATTCGTTAAACCATAAGAACGACACCAATGTTCCTCAAAATACCACCGTCCTGTCATACTGACAGAAACAAGAAGAGGAAGATCTTTGAGGGATACCAAAATGTCCACTACCGCTAGATTTGCCACGATAAGTCCGGTACACGAGGAACGGAGGCTCCGACGACGGTAAATCTGGTAGCAGACGACAAAATTGATTCCAATCGTCATAAAGCAAAATACTGCAACTACAGTGGCAAGTGGCGAAGAAGACGTGATTGCCATAGTTATATTTTCTTCCTCGTGCCTCATGGCAATATTTTTTTTACAGAATGCTGGAAGGAAAAAGTTTTTTTTAGAATCGGTTTTGTTGTTGTTTTCTTTCACYGAAGTTTTGAATTGTGCTTTTAAAGTTCCTTCAACAAGCTGGCCTTTTAAACGCCCGACGAACGTTCGACGTGCTGAGTTCCCTTTAAAACAATTAGTTTACCCTTTAACTGATTTCCGGAAGAACGTTCCTCATGGGTGCGATTTTTTTTTACTCGATCTTTTGAGAAGACTTCAACACCATAGACGAAGAGCCAGTTTTAGTTTGAAACGTTCTCCAAAGCGACAGGACCAGAATAGCAGGATTTGTCAACAAGACGACAAAAGATTCCTTTATGATGGCAAAATGTAAAGAAATTAATTTTTGATGCAAAATATATGGTCACCAATGCTTGCTATGATCCACCCGCAGGAAGAGTGAAAGGAACCACCCGATTGGCTGACAGGTCGTCTTACAAAATCATCTTGATTTTGATTGGTTGTCGAGGGCATTGTTCTCGTCGCTATAGCGCGATTCTTCAAGCGGGTAAACCTGTTGCTTTGCGACAGAGTAAGACATGAGTTTATTACAAAACCTATTAAACCCGATCCGATTAAAGTCAAGACTTTCATGGGTACATCATTCGTAGCTCCAGATCATTAGCTTAATTGTCAGAGTCTATAGAAGCTATAGTGCATTTTACATTCTTTGTTGTGCACTTTATTCTTACATAAACAAGAAATAAATTTTAAAACGTTCTTTTTTCTTCTTTGGTATCAAAGAACTGAGCAATAAAGCGGCTACAAGATGTGAGTTTGAACAACAAAAGCGCATCCTACGATAGCATGTGGTTCGTTAAAAGCCACCACGTGCTCCTCTACTATAATCAAGTCCACACCTAATTTGCATATTCTTTTGTGTCCGGGTAAATACCCCATACACCGACTCAAATCGTCCTGAAATGGAATTTTTTTCGATTCGTATAGAAGATTTCTAGAAAAATGATCAAAAACCGGTGGAAAAAATTTTGCAAAATCTTCGTAATATTCTTAAACTGACGAGGGCCAATTAAATGTTTTTTTGACGTAACTATTGTAYGTAGCACGCGTAAAACATGGGCATTTAAAGCAGGTACTGGATTTATGACATTGTTTGGTCAGCCTGCTGCAGAGATCATATGAAATATTTCAAGCGCGCATATAATGTTGTTTAGAACTGGTAGTCGCGTCTCTGATTTTATGACCGAGCCGTTTCAGTCTGATGAGATTTAAAACTCAATTGAGATTTCCTACTCAAGTTTTGTAATTCAAATTTCTAGACTAATTGGATAAATAACAAATCAGGTGAAAAGCGCATTCGGCTTTCCCCAAAAATGGCTCGCATGGAAGAACTAAAACATTTCAGCGGTGTAAAATAAATAATAACGATTATCTATATCCAATTTAGGTTTACTTTTTGAGTCTAGCCACTATTTATAGTAAAAATATAATATTTTTATTTTCCATAGTTTAGTCACCAACTATTGAAATATTTTTTTCCTTTCAAGGAGATTGTGATAGACGAAAAAAAAAATCATCTGTATCTCAACATCGACACAAAGCTAATTTGATCTTCTCGCCCTTCTCTGATCACTGACTGCAGGTCAATCAGAGTCATTTCAGTACATCTAAATTAGTAATTACCAAAACAATACGACAAAAAATTACTCGGATTTAAAAATCTGATATCAATTACTTGATCCTGGGTCAATTTACATTGACTTCATAATTCATTTTTTTCCATTCATATGTTTGTTTTTCGGAATGTCCAAATTTTTCTCCATCTGATCTATCTTTTAAAACGATTACTGTATAATAAATATCGAAGAAAAGTAGCCATTTGAAAAAAATTTAACAATAAAATCAAAACACACACGTGGAATTTTTGAAATGTCTTGTTTATTCTAGGGAAAAGCCGTGAAAAAGCTGGGGCTTAGTTAAGAGCCCGCGGTCACGAACTCGTCGCTATAGCAACAAGGAAGATTACAAACTCAGATGATCAGCGCCATTTTAAACAAGAAAGCAAAAAAGTTAAAGACAACCTTTCAAAATGAGCGGCCTTCCAAGAGAGATTTTAAAATGGATACAAAGTTTAGACCTTACTCATACAGTAAGGAATACCAGAAGGTAAAAATACGATTGAAATACGGCGTTTAGAGCTCAAATTCTTTGTGTTTTGAAAAAGAATTCTTCGAATGTGAAGATAAATATGGTGGCTTTGTTTTATTATTTTTTCAGGGATTTCTCCAACGGATACCTTGTGGCAGAGATATTCTCGTGGTATTTTCCTCAGGAGGTGACAATGCACTCTTATGAAAATGGAACATCGCTCAAAACAAAGCTAGGAAATTGGGAACAACTTCAACGAGTAAGACTACAGTCCAATTGTCTATTTGAATTAATCTTAATTTTATTCCAGTCCTATGAAATGCTAGTAACAGTCATTGTTGTAGTGTTTAAAAGTATTTCTATTATTTTCCAGTTCTTTTTGAACCAAGGATTTGATATACCAAAAGACATCGTAGAAGGAACAATTCACTGCAAGCCAAGGGCGGCTGCCATGTTGATAGAGAAAGTCTACACTATCCTCACAAATAGAAGGTAAAAATCTAATGAATATTTTTGAGAAATCCTAAAATAATTCAGGTTATTGTCATATTAACCTTCTAACAAAAACTATGCATCTGTAAGATTGTAAGGATTTTCACAGAGGAGAATTGATACTCAAATCAAACAACCCCCCTCCCCTCCCCCATCACCATCACAGCTACCATCACCTTCCCCACACTTAGAAACTCTACCCCCCCCCCTTTACTATGAGGCAACAATTTGCCAGACTGCTATCTCTAGAAATGTTTGTTATGACTATATAATATTATCTGTCATATTTTATTTACTTTAGTGTCAAGGTTACAGTGATTGAGGATGAACCAGACTTTAGTGACAGGAGATACCAGACTCAGCTACCAGCTCATGCTAGATCTACTGCTTCAATGGTTAGTTTGTTTATGGAATCTTTCTCATATTTAAACCTTAGAATGCCACAGAGATCCATTCTGTGAAACTGTATTTTTGTTTCCAGGGAATGTGGAAAATCTTAAATGCATTTATTCTTTCAGGCAATAAAAAACAACTTGGCAAACACTGAATTAGTTACAGATCCAGATCGAATACTTTGTCAACAAAAGGTAAATGTCAATCGAAACTACAAAACTATGCATTGGTTCATCTGATTTAGTTGGGAGGGGTGTGGTGCCAGTGCCATTTTTTCACTGCTCAACGTACCAGGATTGACCACTTTTCATATTTTGGTTCACTTCTCAAACAAGAGTATCCTAATGACTCTGACTATAAGATAGAAGTTTGACTTTTCTTTTGTTACTGCCTTAGAGGCTCAATAAAATGCTGTTYGTCAACTCTGCCCAAGGATCAAACTATAGTGTTTTTCATAAACTTGTGAATCAAAGTCTGTAGCATATTTAACACTACTTCGCTCTAGGGCCCAGTTGTAATTTAATTAGTGCACTTTGTTTCACAGGTTAATAAAATCCATTCTATTGCCGTCCTCTTAATCATCAGTTACATGCACTGCACTAACTTAGCCTCGCTAGCTCAGGCTGTAAATTGGGTGTTAATGACTTGTTTTGTTTTTCAGGCTCAGTCCATTATCAATAACCATATCGAGCACAGGAGACAAGAAAGGACTGATGATCCAAGTTAGTAACAATATTACTAAATATGAATCTTTTGTTCTTAATCCATAGTTAGTAAACCCACAACCAAGTACCAGTAGGGTAGGCCTTGCTATCTCAAAACATCCACAATTCATTAGGGAAAAATAATCTTAGACTTTGCAATGGTAGTCTTTTTTGAATAACAAGACATATTTGAATGCTTTGGATTGGATTTTTTTTTTCTGCAGAACGGTTTGGAATAAGACCAACTCTGGGTGAACTTTGTCCAAGACTCGCACCAAGACAAAACATTGATCACAAAAAATACAAAGATAAAGAAGAATTGGTTAACCAGATGTTAGAGGAAGGTAACATATAACATAGGAAGTTTGTATGTATGTACCAAAATGACCATACACATTTACCCAACTGACCAACACATGTAACGAAAGGACCTGTAATGAAATTGACATGTAATGAAACGATTGGCTACCATGTATCCTAGCTACAGCTAAAACATTTTTGATCTCTTTCACCAGACTCCAGCATGACAAAGGATCCATCACAACAATTTACTGAGATCCAAGTCAATCAGTTACCAGGCAATAACATGTACCCATCAATGCACAACAGTGCTTTCTACTCTACAGTACGCTAAATATTCCTGAATAATTCCAAGACTGTTGAAGCATCCGCATTGTCTTTACTAAATCAAAATAAGAACTATTTCATCATATTTCCCATAGCTTTTGGGTATACACGATGAGCATTGTTTCTGCTCCTAATTGCCAAACATTAAAGATCAGTGTCTTGGTGAATAATGTTCAGGTTCTAATGCATTTTCTACACAACAGAGAAAGCATGTCTGCTTAAAATAATGTTCAAACAGAGGCCACACAATTCAAATCATTTTATTCTAATAAAAATTATTTTATTTCTACGCTGTACATTTCTATTATTATCATTATTATTGTTATTATTATTGAATAATGCCTTAATAAATATTAGAAAACATTCAACCTTTGCTGTGCTACATAAATGACAGCAAAACCTTCGAATAGTTAACCATTTAACATAYGGTAGATTTCCTTAATTCAATGCAAATGAATAGGAACTACACTATCAAATTAATTTTGTAGCTCAAGTTAAATGTACCATATTTTATTGTGATGGTGGAATACCGTACAGACCTTTTCATAAAATACCGCTCTTCCTTCACTACAGATTCATTTTTTGCAGGTTCAGCCATGATTTTGTGCAGTGTTTCAAAGCATTTGTATTGCTAAGCTGTGCATTGTTTACTTTATCATTGGTATTTGTGAATAGTTTGAAGTTAAAATGAGGCTGTAAGCAAGGAACACAGCGGTTTTTCACAAATTCAAAAAAGTCTATTCTTGTGATAGGTCAATGCACATGAAATGAATGGTAATAATATTCATGTGCTTTACAAAGCAGGGAGGAAGTTTAGTGTTAATGCAAGTGGCACTGTACACCTGCCCACTTTAAAAAAGGGAAAATCACTATTTCAAATAAACAGAAAAAGCTTAACTACCAGGACTTGTTACAGTGCGAATTGAAAAACCGTGGGTGCCTAGAAATGTCAAGAATGTTTCTTAACCAATCAGAAGCGTTAGTTTTATCTTTCCRTTATCTTGTGGTTAGAAAGTCAATTSTGATTGGCTAAAGAACAATAGAACATTTTTGGGATATTTTCTAGTGCCCACGGTTTTTCAGTTAGCAATGTAAATTATCATGGGCAAAAACAATAAATGGTAAGTTTACACAGGTGCAATGCAAGATGCAGGATTTTCAAAGGGGGGTGGGTTCCAAAATAACAGGGGGGGAAAAAGTAAGAACATTTTTTCAYATTGAATTAAAAACAACTATCAATTGACTTGGCTTGTTAGTGTGCAGGGAAGCATATCTTTGTTTGTCCTAAAATCCAATGAAATTAGAATAAGGAATAAAATTCTCACAATTCCTTAAATCAAAATGTGAAAAAAAATGCCCATCCCACCCCTAGTAAGTTCCAAAAAACTTACACACTGTCAGGGGGTTCCAGGATTTTCATTAATTTGAGTCTCATCTAATTGACTATTTGTGGGTTCCAAATTACCCCCTGTGTTTCTTGATTACAGACTCATTTACACATACACAGGGTTAGCCTCAATTTTGTGCAGAATATTCACGTGTTCCAGTCAAGGTCCRTGGAAATTCAAAGTGTTTGTAATGTTGAAGTTGTGCATTCTTTACTTAATTGTTGGTATTTGTGAGTATTTAGAACACTGATTCGAGGCTAACCCTGAGTAAATGAGTCTGTAATCAAGGAACACCGGTAATTTGAAACTCAAAACTGGTCTATTAGGGGGTYCATAGTTGTCATTTAGGGGGTTGGTCATTAATATCTGATACCTGAGGTATTGCAAGAGTTCCTCTAGACTTGTAAACCTCTTGGTACTCTTGGCCAAGTAGACCTGTCCTTTATCATTAAAGAACACCTTAAAAAATGACAGGCAAGATGGGGTTTATTAGTGGGCTGGAAGCAAACTGAATGATATAGAAATCTAGGATCTTATACTTATACCAGTTAGGTAGGTTAATCTTCAATCTTAAATCCATTGCCAATAAATGAGGTTGGGTGCCACATGCGAGGGACTGACGTAGCAGGTCCCTCCAGAAGATCACTATGACAACCCTGCCACAGTCCACTTCTGGCACCCGTCACAAGTAGACTTAATCAGTAAAAATTATATACCTATCTGGACAAACCACATAGACAATAATAACCATTACATGGGAAAGGAGGGAGGGGTATAATAATATCTTTGATCCACTAAGTAAAGCGTTTAATCGCCTACAATCAGGCAAACCAGGGTCAAGGGTTGGATGACGTGTATAACCAGTCCTGTAAATTCTTCTGGGTACCCCATACTGCTGCTACCATGGAGCAAGACTGCCGGCCAGCATTGTCTYGATTTTAACCTGGCCTGAATTATATTTATCACCATTTAATTTTATAATATCTTACCTTAAAGTTAAAGACCTCTTTTCCACTATTCGATGACTTGTTGTACACAGTTAAAGCCTTGGTTTAAAATAACAAAAATTATTCATTTTCTTTATTTTATTCATTTGAAATCCAAACATGGTCAAACAAGAAACAATCCCCATAACCCAGGAAGCCCAAACCACTATTTTTTTCTGCAGGGAACCAACATTTTCTTTCATTGCACAGAATAAAACCATAGACCCCTTGCAGTATGTCAGAATGCAGCTCAATTTGGAGGAAATTATGATAGGTTTGCAATTCTCAGAAGATTGAAATTTTTTTGTTTTGTCCTCCAAATTGAGCTCCTTTGAAGTCACATACAAGAGGTCTGTTCAAAGAAAATCAAATATGTTGTGAGAAATTTAAAAGTTTGATTTTTTCATACCTTTGATCCTGGGTCAGTTACAGAATCACGCACTATAAAAGCTCCATTTCTCTTTTCTTCTGGAAAACTTTTGATGATTTCCAGAAGAAACTCCTCATAGTCCTAAAGAAAGAAATCTTGGTAAGACTGTACTTAATGAGTTTCCTTAAATATCTCAAATTCCCATCCACTGTTTAAGACATTCCTTCCAGGAATTCCACAGTAGTACAAGTTACACACCATTTTCAACATGCAATCCTCCCATTATTTTTTCAAATCCTCTATACTTACTGTCCTTGATGTGAGCCACTCTCGTGTTTTTGGTGTTAATGCCTGGTAAACCCCAGAATCAGTACCATCTGATGTGTCATTGCCAGAGGATCGTTTTCTGGGTGGTAGAAGAGGTGTGTATATTTCATCAGGGGTGTCTGTACATTCAGCACTCAGTCTAGTACCATCACTGYCATTATCTCTACAAATTTTACCATCTTCCAATTGCTCCTCTACAGTATCTTTAGTTTCTGGATTTTTCTCCATTTCAGGGATATCTGGTAATGGTCGCTCTAAAACGTTATAAACTGGTGAACTTTCTCTACTAACTGAGTCTGTTGATGAGGGCACTAAATCCTCCTGCGGTGTGCCAATTGGTCCCTTATTTGAAGCATAGCTAACCTCTGGAAGAGTGTACAAGTCATCAAGCCTTTCAACAACTGTGTTCTTTTCCTCATCAGGCAGTTTTTCATTATTTTCATTTTTGTGATTATTCTCTGGTATCTCTGGTACRATAATAGCATTATTTTCTGGTGATTTTAGTTCTGATGGAATTTGTTCTTGTTTTGTTTCTAATGAAGGCTTTTTGGGGGAAGGTTCTTCTAGAACAGCATATATAGGAGATCTAGCTTTATTTGGTACATCTCTTGATGGGGAAATTGAGTCTGTCACCAAATTTGTTGAAGCATGTGGGCTAATAACGTTATTCTTGGAATTTTGACTATAATTTTTCGCAAACACCTCAGAATGTTTTGGGGCATTAACAGCAGATGCATTTCTTAAATCAAGAGAGGCTTGGTCGTAGTTAGGGTAGAGGCTGGCTTTGCTAGATGTGGTACTTGTATTATCCTGTTGCTGACTGGGTGCTTCACTTGCACTTTCTTCATTTGTAGCTGTAAAATTAGACATATAGTATAAAAAACTTGCATGAGTATAATAGATATCTGTTTCTCTTGGTTGTATATCATATAATATCAATGGACTACTTCRAAAATACAGCAGCCATCTTGCCAGGGGACAAAATAAAACAAAGATGACAGAAAATATTTAGAGTTCCGCATGTTTGTCTTTCTATTATTGTTTAAGGTGATCGATGTGCCATCTTAATTTCATCTTTTGTTGTATTTTCTTGTGGTGAACTGTTAATCTCAATCAATGTCACAAAGCTTTGTTTGCCCCCTGGATGCCCCATAATGTCTTGCAATCCTAGATGGCTGCCATCTCATCCAAATAGTCAATTAAAATCTGTAACCTTCAGGATCAYGAATACAATGTAAGTATAGTCGGATTAGATTGGAAACTTAGTATACATAAGATTAGAAGTTTGTGAGGCCTATAAGACTTTAAAATGTACTAGCCTCCCTCACTATGCTCTCTGAACTTGAATGAATAATCAGGAACTTTGTATCGTACATCCTCCAGGCATGCACAGAACAAGACATGTACCCCACACAGTGAAAAGAATAAAAGTAATAGATTTTATATTTTCTGAATTAAGTTTAGAGTCTCACTCACAAAGTCTAGATGAAGAAGCTTCATGTTCTACTGCACCATAGGTCTTGCGGCTATCACGCATTAAAGGCTTTAGAACAGAAAGATGTGCTACAAAGTTATGCTACAAATAGATATACATCATTTTATACCAGGCTGTAGGGCCCGGTCGTACTAAGCCTGGATAGCGTTATCCGATGGATAAATCTTATCCAGTGGATGAATTTATTGGGTAAGAGCATCGACTTATCCACTGGATAAGGATTTATCTGCCGGATAGTGCTATACACCCTTCATACAACCGAACTCAGTACAGTTGGTCTGGTTTAACTGCACCACTTTTTACTCTCAGAACCATTTTGTCCCCTTGTAAAGAATATTTATTACAAAGGTAAATAAAAAACAGGTCAATCCTTTTTAAAATATGGACCACTGTCCAAATGGTGGTTATGAGAGATGAATTATAAGAGAATTTTGCTGTACAGTTCTCTCTCCCTCAGCCCCCACCACCAAACATGCCTTTGCTCTAGTGACGTATGCATTGTTTCCCATGTCCAGACATACACACATTATATTACAATTAAATTAACGGATTAATACAGGATACAGGATTATATTTCTGTTGTGGATTACGTAATCTATCACTTTGACTGTGATGTAGTTTTAGATAAATTTTACTATATTTAACTTTCAAAATTTTTACCCAAGTTTAAGTCTCTTTTTTAGACTTGTTCATTGGTGTCTGATGTTTACACTACATCATGTGAGTTTTAGAAGCATTTGTGTAGAACATAAATTACCTGATAAGGAACCTCAGAGCTAGAATGACTATTACTGCTAAGAGTACTTCTTAACCTTCGTTCAATCCTCCTCTTGTTCTTCTTCCTGACCACGAAACAAATAATCAAGACTAAAGGTACCAGAATCAAAAGGAGACAAGCTATTGCGAACAAACCATACGCCCAGGATTCATAATCACAGAAGTACTGATTATTTTGTGAATCATATCCATTATGAGTCAAGAATGGGCATCTTGGAGTCAATTCTGTTGGTTTAGCTGTAGTCGTCACGTTTGTTGCTTCAAAAGACGACGCCATTTTGGATTTTCAAACTTTGATCACAAGTTTTGGATCGGAATGTAGGAGAGCAAAAAGGAATAACTTTTTCCCATTTCTTCTTTGCACCAGGAATGCTTGTAGGAATTAAAAATATTTAGATTTCTTCCGAGGACACCATCTTACTAGTATTAAATAAATGTCGCTTCCTGCTCACGTGAACTGTCTCGTTCKAGATCCTCCAACACAGGTAGCCCAAAACAATCCAGGGGAGGGCTTGCGGTTAGACTGCGTTCAGCTAACCGGCGCTGGGGGTAACCTTTATTCGTCTCAAATATCTCGAAAATTAAAATCCCTCAAATGAATGTTCTGTCTGTTGGCATACTAATCAATGTATTTATGTAGAGAAATAGTTTATACTAAAGACACCCAGTATTGAGCATTAAACAGATCTCTGAAAGGGGAGGGGGTTTTAACTGGGACCTAAACATCTAAAACGATAAAATAGGGACTCTATTTTGGACCACTGTTTTGACCTAAAACAAAACTAACAAAACGCTATCAGTTCATTATTCTTTTYATTTCATTATAATGTGACCATTAATTAATATAAATTCCAAACATATTTACACTATCCTAAGAATTGGAGGAGGGGAAGGATTGGGGGGGGAGGGGATTATTGGGTCTCCATGCACCCAAATACTGAGTAAGCCATAGCCACCCATACTACTAAGCCTTGCAYTTATGGGAATTAAAATTCTGAAAACCAAAAATAAGACTTTTTTTGGACTGACCCCCACCCCCTCCCAAACCTCAACTCGGCTCTGCCCCTGGAGAGAGGAACGTATTTTACAGAGCGTACTCTGGATGAGCAGATCAAGACGATCTTTCTGTGAATAGATTGGGATAGAATCGAAGTCCTTCCACGCTGTCATCCCGACATGCTTTGCCTGCTTGTTCTGTCACGATTAGTCTATGAAAGAGAAAAAATACAATAATTTACGAATTCGTTTTAACAAGTTTATTCTTTTCTGTTGTTTTTTTACGTACTCACTCACTCATTCCTTCCTTCATCCATTCACTCGTAAACTCCTTCATTAGCGTATTTATTCGTTCATTAAGTCGTTTGTTAATTCATTTATTTGATTGGTCGTTTGGTCGGTTAAGGTGCTGACACACGGTGCAACATTGCATGCAACATTGTGTGTAACAGTACTGTTGCAGCGTGTGTCTACCCCAAACTTGTTGCACGCATCGTTGCATGCAACAAATCTGAAGTTGAATCGCTCTTTACTCTTGCGCGCAACAAATTTCATCGTGTGAACATGGCTGCAATATTACCTGCAACATTTTGAAATTTCCAGCCAATCAGCTTGCACCAAATTTATAACTGCTGACTAAATATCTTAACATAGCAGGCTGAGATAAACGATGTTGCGTGATTTTGTTGCAATGTCTGTCACCATGATTCAAATTTGTTGCTTGCAATGTTGCGTGCAATGTTGCACCGTGTGTCAGCACCTTTAGTCGATGGATAATGCCTTATTTCATTCGTTCCTTCGTTGCTTTTATATTCAGTAATGATAAAAAGGTAAAGAGCTCTTTTACTCCGACGAAGGACTAGCGTCCGAATCGTCAGTAAGTTTTTTCATCCTTTCACGGTGTATAATTTAACTTTTTATCATTACTGTTTCATTAGAAACACCGACGCAGCTCACACTAGTTTTTAGCTAGTTATATCTGCTTTTATATTCTCAAAGTTTAACCCTGGTTCAGTCTTTGTTCATTTATTTATTTGTTTTCTCACCCTTCATCCGTTATTCTAAAACGTGCATTCATTTATTTTATCGTTCAATAATTTGTCCATTCCTTCATCGTTTTGTCCATTCAACTCACAGATCGAATTGAAATTTGGCTTGTTAAGGTTTGTGTAGGGAGGAAAACCAGATAATCCCTGACAATATTCAAGGGAGAGACCTAACAAACTCTACGCGATCCTTGATTCCCTAATCCATCAATCCTTCATTTTATCACATACCTTTCTTTCGCAAGCATGACAGATAATTTAATTACACTAGCCAGTTCTTCTGCTGTAAGAGATCCTTTATCATCAAGCTAAAAGAAATCAATCAAATATGCGTGAAACACTCATATAAATAACTGCGTGATACGAATCCTTGGGAAAATGCAGACAAGATGCATGAGCACAACTGTGAACCCACCAGCTCCTTAGTTTTCTTGATAACCTCTTCATCACTGTGGGATATTGATTGTATGACAAGGACACCACTATCAAAGGAACGCAGCCTGAAAAATCAATCAGATACTTAACATGATTTAATAGCAGTTTCTCACCTAAGTGTACGCGGCATGATGACGGTACACTCCATTCAAAACACGTAAGAATTTTACTCATTCAAGCAGAATGCTGGAAAACCCAAGGGTCAGAAACATGGTTAGCTCAGTTGGTTGAGCATCGGACTTTCGCGCGGGAGGTCGTAGGTTCATCTTAAAATGAAAGTGCTGACTCTAGGTTGTAACTACATATATCTGCAAATGGTTAGACTCTCAAGTGGCTTGGCAGGGACAGCGGAACAGTTTTTAAAGTGTGTGTGTGACAATAAAAATGTAATTCTCTCAGGAATAGTCCCCTTTACAGTTCCTGGCACGATCTTAAAAGGTAACCGTGTCTTCCCATCAAAGTTAGAAGAACTGTGAGCTTGCAATGACAGAGACGTGAATAATTATCCAAGGTGAAAGGTACCTATCATTGCAAGCTCACAGTTCGTCTCACTTCGATGGGAAGACACGGTTACCTTTTAAGATGGCGCAGGGAACTGTGAAAGGGACTATTAACAGGAGAAAAAACTCTGTCTATGTACCTCAATGGTATGTTCAAGGCTTCAAATTGTCTTGATGCATTCACTAAATCTTCTGGAGAAACAAGCTGAAAAAGAGAGTTAGAAAAGAAATGAAATAATCATCAGTGCACAACCTCAGAGTTTCCTGTCAATCAAAATATATTAACTTCAACAGTTGGAAATGTGAGTAACAGGAATCAAAACCCCATAGCATAACATGAATATTGGGGAAGCATGTGTGGCACAGCTGTGAGAGCGCTCAATTTTCAAATTCTAAATTCCAATTATTGGAATGTAGTGGAATAAGAGTGACTCTGTGGAATCCACTGTTAATCCCATTATTATTATTATTATTATTATTATCATTATTATCATCATCATTATTATTATTATCATTTTTTTTTAAAATGGGTATAATACATTACTAAATATAATTGATATTCTTCCATTATTTTGTGCTCTTTTCTTACTTATTGTCTTACCTCCATTCCTCTAGCTCTGTTAAATCTGCAATACACATCTGTCAACGCCATCATCCCCCCTTCATCCTGATAAAAAAAATAACAAATAAGGAACAGAGGTGAATGCCAACAAAGGGTGTGGCAATACAAACCTCCAAATCCTATCTTCCTGGGGACAAAACCAGTAGTCCCAAGCTCCAATCTAAAATGCCAGGCTATTTCTCTAGTCTCTACCCTTTGAACTGTTTTAATTGGGAGGTACAGATAGAGTACAATATTCCTGATGCAAATTACTTGCCTTTCTGGGTCTAAGAGGCACTCAAAACACTTCACTGCGATACACTAGTTACAACTAGTTTAGAGCAATGAATCCCAAACCTTACAGCTCACCTTAATAATCTTATCCAAGAACCTGCCAAGTTCTTTGGCTAGCTCTTTGTGATAGTTTGCTCCTGCTCCAACAGTCTCTCTGAAAAACAAGTCACTGAGTCAGTAGCTATTACAGTGCGACACACAATAGTATGACCACATCTTATTTGTATACTTCTATGCAATGGCTTTTTGCTGCCAAACAAGCTTTTCCATACCTTTGGCAAAACCAGCCAGCTTTGCAATGAAATGTGCCAGTTTAATGTACGAAAGCCCATAGATGTATGCAAATAAATTTATCACCGGTCATACATTTGGACATTGCGCTGTAAAAGAAATATTCATGTACATAAGAATTGACTTCAACTGGGACCACTTAGTATCTTTCAGCCAATCATGGTTTGAGTCTACAAACAACTGCTACATCTCATAGGCTAATGTTATGACAAACTTGGAATCATTGTTTCAATTCATCTTGTGATATACTGAAAAATTCTAGTAGGTCATGGTTGAGATCATTGCATTGTAATTCAAGCACACATTACCTAGTAACAGGATTGTCTATGCCCATACTCAGGAGATATGACTTGAATGTTACTGTCTGTAAAAAAATAAGATCAAAATGCTTTTAAAAGCAAAATGTAATGGAAACTTTGGATTTTTTAGACCAGGCCATGTGCCTCTAGTCTGGTCCTACTTTTTTCTCTTTTGTATAAATAACTTGCTTATATCCTTGGGGTCAATAAGTCTTATCTCGTAAATCAGTACAGGCCGTCAATTCAGGGGTGGTGGGGTTAGAAGATTTTGGTAAAGAGCTTATCTCCTCCAATCAGTTAATTTTTGCCTTCTCCCCTCCCCCCCCCCCCCAAAAAAAAATTCTATTATGTAATGGTCCCTGGATGTAGGTACCTCATCATCTGTGAGTGAACCCTTCTTTTCTTCGAGTGCAGAGGCAACTTTGTCAGCTAAAGCTACCATCTCTTTTGCCTATTAAAAAGAAATATTGGATTAATAAAATGATACAAAATCTGTTTGTTGATGAGTATCATGTTACCTTCTCCATGAGGGCATCAAGATCTTTAAATGCCTACAAAACATGATAGTAAAATATCAATCAGTAAAATGAAAATATGAGTGCATGTTATACCATAATGTAAACATACCCTATCCAACAGCATAACCCCATATGGCTCACAAGGTTACAATTAGTTAAAGAACCTCTAAAGGCCCTGACAAATGGTCCCAAGATTTCACCCAGTAATTATACAACATTTTGAGCCATGATTTTGGCCAAACATCGCTGGCAGACCATTTGACCCAACAAATGTTGACGGAGTGTTGGGTCAAATGTTCGAGCCATTTGTCAGTGTCTTTAGAATATAACAATTCTTACCATATTGATATCATCCCCTCTCTTCTTAGATTGCTCCTCAAGCTTCCTTTCTATACCAACTATTCCTACACCTCTAGGCTGAACAGAAAAAAAGGTATAAGATATAAGAGAAATGTATTTAGTAATGGGCTTCCTGTAGTAACCTCATATGAATATCATGAGAATAAAAGAAAGAAAATAAAATAAAATAAGCTCACCCCTAGCTTTGATGGTGCCCTGCCCTCTGTTACGTTTGTTCCACTTTGAAGCCATGCTTTCTTGTTGAGCTGTTCATTTAGTTTGTTGTAAAACTGACACACAAATGAAAAAGCAGAATCGCTTTACGTCATACTGCTAACAGTCCCTCAAAACGTAATTGAGTCAGGTGTTTTCAACATCTCAAGTACCCTCGGAATGGGGGCGAGTTATTAAACAGAACAGCAATGAATAAGCAATATATCAAGTTCATGATTAATATCATTAAATGTATTTTCACTGTGACAAAAATATATAAATCATTGAATAGCCATATTGATGGTTTTCAACCATTCCCAAGAGAATTAAATAACAAAAGACACGGCGGCCAAAAGAATTCATTGACAATTGTTTTGTTAAGTTCCTCCAACATGGCCACCATGAAAACCATCAATACAGCTCAAAGTACATGTACATTTCACTAACCTCAGAATGCCCTCCATTCTTGAAAGAAAATCTAACATAAGTATAAGGACTGGATACAGAAGGTCCTGGTGGCTTGTTGGGTTGTGGAGGATGAAGATACACTGATATCTTAGCGCTAGTATGAAAGCAATCAATAGATTTTGACAACAAATAACAGTTTGAAATATCGAAAATTTAAAAAGGTAGCAACAAACCTCTGTGTTTCCCATGTCACCACAGGGAACCCAATTATTGACAAAGGTTTACCTGCTCATAAATCCTGCAGCCTGTTCCTCTGTTCGCATGATGAGTGATAAAGGAATATCAATAGCACGATCCTGGATAAAACAATGTCATATTCATAAAGAGTTAGTATTCTTTTGGGATCCCTGTGTTGTCACCACAGGAAACCCAGCCTAAGTTTCTGTACTCATAAAAATAAAAATATAGACCCTTCTTAAAATTGTCTTGAACGCGAAGCTAACATGAGAATGCAAAAGAAATGCCACAAATGCCATTGAGAACAAATGTGGCTTCTTTTGTATGCTCGAATGTTAACCTCACATTTACAATACTACTTAGCAATTAAGGCGAAGGCGAAGTGAATATCAGGGAATATTTATACCGAGACTCGAGTCTTTGAGCGTCGAGGTAAATATTCCCTGATATTCACTGAGGCTGAGGCAAATAATTGTTTTAGTATAAATACACAGGTGATTCTTTCAAAAAAAGGGAAAAAAAGAAGATAACAGCAACAAAACGGCTGGGCGCCATTTTGGATTATCACTGGAGGTGATTATCGTGTGATAGTGTGAGTTTCTCGACCAATCAGAGTGCGAGATTTTCAATAATCACCTGTGTATTTTTACTACTATAGTATAGATCCCATGCATGTGATATGTCAAAGGAGCTCAATATGAAGAGAAAAAACAAAAGAATTTCAATCTCCTGTGAATTGGAAACCTATTGTAGTGTCCTCAAAATTGAGCTGCATTCCGATGTATTGCAATTACAAAAATGCATGCCTCTTGAAAAAGAATGCTTTAAAATGAGAAGAAATTTTACTGCTTTGATTCTGTGGTTTGAAAATTCAGAAACTTGGCCTGGACTTCTTGTGGCAATGCTTGGAATGAACATGATCAAAATATTGAAATTTTTGTCAAAAGAATTGTCAATAATTTAATACCTTCTGTTGAAGATCATCCCATAGCAGTCTATGAGTAGTTAACTTGAGCATACCACTGTCGAAAGTCGTCTAAATAAAAGGAAACAAAATCTTTGAACCAAATCTTCTTAACAAGTGAACTTTGGAATGATTCTTGTGTCGCTCTTGAAAGAATTTTAACGCACTGTACGTCATCATAGTGTACCTTGTTATCTCCATCGTATATTCTTACGCTTCCTTGCTGGTGAATCCCTATTTCTCCGGGGAAAACAGAGAGATTCGACCCAGAACACCAAGAAAACCTGTCCATATTTCTCTCAATTGATGGAACACACCGAGCCTGCAGGTTACTTGGTCAGCTAATTTTGTTCCAAAACAAAGATGGCGGACGCGCGATGTTTAATTAGCTTTTAACACATGACTGTTTTAGCAAGATTTTAAAATTCTTTTATCAGATTATTGGCGTAGATGCGGCCTTTTCTGATGGAGGGAGTTCGCTGGGCGTTTAAATCAGAGGCTTGGAAGCCCACAAAACAGGTAAAACTCGACTTGACCACATCCAAATCTATGCCGCAAAATCTTCAGCCGGGGGCTTTGTAGAATTTGAGGGGGGGCTAGCAATTATTTAAAGCAACACTTAGGAAACTATCAATTAGTTATATTCTATATTCATTATTTAAAATTCTGTAGCCCCCAATCCCATATGTTATGCAGGACCTCCAATGTTCTCTGTTTTCACTTTTAGGAATGGCTGAGAGGATTGTCTTGTGTTCAGTCTGAAGAGAAGGAAAGGGTTCAGAAATTTGTATTCAAGAAAGATGCCAAGTCATCACTGGTAAAAAAAATATTGCTCACCCATCCCCCTTACTATTTTTAATACCCCACCCCACCCTCCCCTCCCTTCTTAACTCCCCAACCACCTAATCTTTTCAGTTTTAGAGTTATATTAGGACATGATGATGATGAAATGGCATCCATATTCAAGTATGGACTTTCATCAATGAACACCATGCTCATTTCCATATTAAGAATAAAAAACTCCATTTGAGCCCTCTTAAACTCATCCCAAAATGCTTGAAAGTGAGGCTATGCAGGGAGAATCTATCATTTCAGAAAACTTGGACGATGGAAGAGAAAGACTTATTATGATTCTGTGGTGTGCACCAACACTGTACAACACAACACTGGCTTCAGAGAAAAACAAAAACAAAACACCAACCTTTTTTCTAATTATTAGGATTAACTTTATAACAATGGTACCTAATTCTGGTTTTATAAATATATCTAGATTGGAAGGCTGTTACTTAGAAAAGTTATCACAGAAATGCTAAATATTCCATATGATGAAATAAATTTGGAGAGAACAGATAAAGGAAAGCCATACCTGGTAAGTAATAGTTCAGGTATAAAGACTTCTTAAGCTCAGACCTTACTACTAAGTAGTAAGATTACGACCAAATTCCTTAGTACTTTATGTAAGATTTGAAATGGAACTATTCCGTAGTAAAGTTCAAGATTAGGTTTTCTTTAGTTAGGGTTGGGGTTTCAGGATACTATAATCAATAAGCAATAATAATTATTAATGATCAAATAGTCAGTGCCATTTCATGAGGTCTATTATCAAATACTGTTTTTAGATTAAACAATGATTTCTGCAAGTAATTTTTATGTGAAAATACATTACCAGAAAAACATTGTTTGTTTTTAATCAAGGTGAATGAAGTTGAAAATTCCAGAGAAAAAAGTTTTAGCTTCAATGTTTCTCATCAGGTTGGTTGTGAATGTTTTTTTTTTATATATATTGCTGATGCTTTTTGATAATTGTCTCAGTTTTGCAAATTTTCTTGGTTCTAATTGGCTAAAATGTTATCTCAGATTAGCTGGGCATGCTCTCATATGCACCCTGTATTGAATCAGAAGCCAGATTTATGGCAATTATTMTTTAATATCTGTTAGCATATCTAATTAATAAAAAAATAACCTGCTTTGCTAGGGAGATTATACAGTACTTGCTGCAGAACCACATAGACAAGGTAAGGCATGCTGATAGTACCATGTATATTATARAGGCTTTGCACCATCAAGTGATGGCAGCCATGACAGGAGGCAGGAACAATTTAATCTGGTCTTATCTGATTTACATGAGAAAAGAAAAGTCTGTTTTCCAGGGGGAAAAAGCGCTATTGTTGTGGCTCCTATCATGGTTGCCATCATGTGATGGTGCAAAGCCTCTAATAATAAAAACTTGTTTAATCAATCCTAAACACATTTGTAACTCATTTTATTGTTTAGTGGGAGTTGATGTTATGAAGACAACCTATCCAGGTGGGTGTGGTCAGCATGAGGATTTCCATAACTGGAACACATTGAAAATGACATTTGCATCTAGCTGTCTCAGATTACAAAGTATTTGAGAGGTGCTTCATTGGCAGCTTAAAGCAATGGCTTGATTCTGGAACCATGCTTTGTTGAGTTCATCATCAACATCATGACTCATCACGCCAGAAGGCGCATAAAGCATTTTATCTTTTGTCAAACCCCCTCTGCTCTGCACCACTAATTTAGCCACATTGCAGCTTGTCTATCCCACTTTGTCTCATTCTTTCTCTGCAATTTTATTGTCCTTCTATAAATAGGTAGATGAACTATTTTTACCCTTGGTTTTGCCTGTTACAAAATCATTGCCAATATTCTGAAAAAGTCCTGGGTGATGTGAAAATTTCTCCATCTGTTCACAGATTCTTGACACTGACCTTGTGACCTTTGACCTTTTTACTTACAGGGGGTACAGATGTGCCAAAGTTCTTCCATATCATGCGGAAACAGTTCACTCCTTTTGAATGGACAACTGTCAAGAATCAATCCAGTGAATGGAAACAGCTACAAATGTTCTACAGATTCTGGGTATTTTTATGTCAGCGCTCTAAATAATAGACCCGTTGCATTGATTTCCTAGAAAATTTGTTCTGCAGGACAAAACAATAGGCCATCTTTTCTTATGCAAAAAACATGGATCCATTGTATTGGCCAACAGAACAATTCATCTTAGGACTCAGTGCAAGAGGTCTAATATAAAAATTTAATTCAAGTTAACCAATCATGTCGTAGAGTGAAAAGTGTAGCCAATCAGAAGAGGAAGCAGAATCAAATGTATCAAATTCATCTCAGCCAATCACGATGTAGAGTGTAAACTGTAGCCAATCAGGAGAGAAAACAGAACAGTAGCATATTGATATCAGCTAATCAGATAGCACAGTGTAAACGTTTGCCAATCAAGAGAGAGAATAGAACAGTAGCATCATTGGACTCAGCCAATCACAATGTAAAGCATAATCTGTAGCCAATCAGGAGACAGCAGAATCAGTAGTATATTGATTTCAGCCAATCACAATGATTTTTTTCAGTGTCTCAAAGAAAGTTTTGTCAAGGCTGTTGGAGTTGGCATTGGTCATGACCTTCAAGCCATAGAATTCAAGTTAAAAACCCAAGAACTGTCAAAAGAGGTCAGCTTGTTTCTCTTGTAACTTCAATGAGCCATGTTGGATATATGAGAATTATGACATGGTACTGAGGCTCTCTAGAATAAAATGTTCAAAATATTTCAATAATAATAACATCGTTGAGTAGTGAACAAACTAGCATTTCTGCCCAAATTGTTTTATTTTTCTTATTGATCCATGTGTTTGTACATACATGAAGTACCATACCGGACTAAAGCCTAAAGCCAATCAAGTCTGAATTTTAAGTTTGGGCGTATTCTGTTTCCCATTTCAGACCATGTGTCATTCCCTAGAGTATCATTTCTTTGTTGAACGGTTGCACATGAGAAGTCACACGAATATGGATACAACTCAAACAAAGAATCTTATTCCGAAGAGAATGACACGTGGTCTGAATTAGGAACCCATTACACCAAAGTTGAAGAGTCTTAAACCTGCGTAAAAGGAGAGCTTATTTTAATGTTTTTCATTTAAGAGTGTCACTTGTGATAGCTGTCTTCGCCTGAATGGAAGCAAAAACAAAGAATGGAGTTTTGAAGAGACAAAGCTGGATGATTTAGTGAGTAAAACTGAATCTATGCTGATTCTATGCTGAATCTATGCTGAAAGAACAAGCATGTATAACGTTGTTTTGGTGATTTCAACCACAGCACCAAATAGCTGTAGCACTGGGTCCATTACCTACAGATGTTGAAACCATTCCTCCTCAGCAGCGGTAGGTTTTTCAGTTCTTTCCTTCTTTCTTGACGATTAAACGGGGAACTAGCGAAGTGGGGAGGGGGGGGGGGTGACGGGGATTAGCGCCCTCTAAAAACTTTGACTAAAATGGTAAATTTTGTTCCTATTTTGTTGGGCTACCTGTGGATTTGGCGGGTATTTTCGCTCGTGAATGCCTTCCAACTCTCTCTTCTACGCCACTGCATCCAAATGCTACAAGTATAAATTATATTTGTCGCAAAGAGTAGAAAAACTAATATAACGTGAGTGGAGCGCAGATTATTAGAAGGCTAGTGCTACAGACCAAAGAAATAGCTCACTTATTACCATGAAAGATTTGGTATCCGTCGATCAAATTTTCAAAATGAATGAGTTACAATTATTTTAGAAGTTTCGATAAAGCATTCATTGCGAATAAAGACGCACGTTTTTATAAAAATGGATAGAATTAATGTTTTAACCAATAATCATCGAATAAAGACGCACGTTTTTATAAAATTGGATAGAATTAATTTTTTAACCAATAATCATTTTTTATATCAAATTTTTCCCCCCCAGATCTTCACCCATCCCGTTCAAGTTTCTTTCCTTTGATGAAATAATCTCGTCTGCAAACCCGCTAAGACCCGTCGAGGAGGAAAGCTGGGAATCGTTCAAGACAAAAAGAGAAAGTCCAGCAAGATAAGCAAAACTATTCTTAAAAATTGTTGGGGATAAAATATTGAATAGAATATCACTGACACAATGGTTATACTAAATATTTTATTTAATGACCATGACCAGGAGAATATTCTCTTGCCATGATTACAACAGACTAATACTGATTTACAACATGTCGTAACTAGAAATGGCTTCCTATAAGAATGGATTTATTTTTTTATGAGTGGCAAACATACGGTACTAACATACAAACATACGGTACAGCACGTACACGTACGTACATGCTATGACAATTTTTCCTGCACAAACGAAAAGTGTCATTTTTTCAGTCCTATCTATTTGCAATAATATAGTTTTTAAATGAATAATAAACCAAAATATTAATTAATCTGAACTAAGATGGATGAATTTGATTGACTTCCGATACACTTTGTTATTTGGATATAACTGTTTTTTTGTTTTTTGTTTTTTTTTTAATTCCGAATTCCGAACCAAGGCGCCCAATGCAAAGACCGAATGCACACTGGCTTCCAATGCATAGTTTGCTAATAACCGGATATTTTCTATTCTGTATTCGCTTCTACTTCCGTCAAAACAATCGTTTTCACCCAAAAAAAGGAACAAAATGTGACTTTTTATGGAAGACATCTGATAGGCTTTTAAAAGATGCGTTTTATTTCTTACATTTCTGAGTGCTACTGTATGCTCAGAGTGCTCGATGCCACTGTAGTTAATAGAGGTTGATAGACTATGATGCCACTGGCACTGAGAGAGAGGAAGCCAGCAGTTAGGATATATTGAGTCGATATCCTTAGTAGAAAAGACGCTAGATTCCAAAATTACAGCGACAAACAAGATCTACAGTGTAGGGTACAAGTAAGTAGATAACGTTAGAAGCAAGGGTATGGATTCCCTGTGGCACGAACTTCAAACTACAGGAAGCCCAGGCAGACGATTATTCCACGCTTCAGGATCTATCCAGTATATATTGGATTTTTTCAGAGAAGAGGAGTCATTCTTCAGATAAAAAGGTAAAGAATTGGTATAATCTTGTGAATCATTTCTCTCGAATAACTTGATATCAATATATCTTTGTGTTATGCATCAGAMTATTACTGTTAAACAAAGAGTAAAGTAGTATTCCGTTCTGCCTGTTAAACTTATAACTATTACTGTAGTTATCAAGAGTACTTGTTTATAAAGAGCAATCCAGTTCATCGGTGTTTGTAGATATTTGACCTCAACATAACCATATGTATAGAAATTACACATAATTTCTGATATCAGATCACATTTAGTATTTCGTAACCTTAAAAACTAGAATACAAAACTACTATGCTATCTCAAGTGTAGAAGAAGATTATTTGCATGAAGGCCTCTAAAGGCGTCTGAGTACTGAGACTGCTTCACATCACTCATCTGTTTCGAAAGATCGGAAACATAATTTTTAGACATTAAAAAAAAAAAAAGAATTGAACTACTATAATATAGCATGACGGGTCTGAACGTGCTGTGGAAAAAAAGGCCAAAGAATGATTGTTATTTGAGATTACTGAATAAAGAAATGCTACACCTATGAATGTCACGGTAGAAAACCTAGCTTGAAGCTTCAGCGTGGAAACAGGCTGGACAGCAAGAGGTCATACTACAGAACTAGTTCTTTGCTCTATACTCTCAGCAAAATACTACCAGTTTTCTTTATTAGCTATATCGTCAAGGTTGGCATATATTGACAAATATTCAAGAGCTTTTAATTGTTTTATAAGCTGTTGGTTTTTGAAGTATTTTATTGCAGAGGTGTCCTTCGGGCGTTGAATGGAATAGTGACCCTGAAAGTTACTCAATATAACAAAGGCACTCCAAAAAAGTATATAACTTGAAAAAGTTGTTTAAATGAAAAATTACTTAAGTTATAGCGAGATAAAGGTCCRGATTGGATCTTAACTAACTTCTTGGTAACGCTAAATATTTATTGTCGGTTTATCTTGCGTGTTTGTATTAAGTCTAATCCATGCTAACCGGTGTCACGAAACACGTTTTTTTCATTTCTCTTTCCTAGGTTAATAGAAGAAGATCGATTCTCCTTTTTCCACGATGCTACCTATAATTGCTGGTCTATATAACCCTAGTATACTAGCAGCGCTTGCTATCACGGTACTGACATGCCTGTACATCATAAGAAAATATTTTTCCGACCCTAAAGAACCGAACGTCAACGACAAATATGTCTTTATTACTGGATGTGATCGTGGATTTGGGAAGATGGCGGCCGAGAGGTTGGACAAGCTTGGTTTCCACGTCATAGCAGCTTGTTTCACTAGTGAAGGAGAAGAAAAGCTAGTGAAAGAATGTAGTGACAAGATTACTACTTTCAGGCTCGATGTTACTAAGACTGAACAGGTCCAAGACGTTTATCTTAAAGTCAAGGCGCTTATTCCGCGTGACCAAGGTACTTAGCCTACTAAGAACTTTTTCAATGGCCTATAGAGGTTTTAAGTTKACTTTTGAGCTTTTAACGAGCGGCAGGCAACAGGCTTCTTTATTTCATTTTCTTCTTTCTGTTCCTTATTTCGTAGGGTTGTGGGGAGTTGTGAATAATGCAGGGATAGCAGAGGTCGGACCAGCAGATTGGGTCTCCCTCAAGCAATTCCAAGCAGTTGCAGATGTGTGTTTGTGGGGACTCATTGATGTCACCAAGACGTTCCTCCCTCTGGTCAAGATGGCGAAAGGGCGTATTGTAAACCTTGTCAGTATTGGAGGTATTGAAGCAATTTACTTCTCTCCTTTTCGCTTCCTTTCTCTCTCTTTCACGTTTATCCTTTCCCTTCCTTTTCCTCAATCTTTTTCTCTATTTTCCCACCTTTCACTCCCCTTGCCTCTTTTTTGATATCCTTCCCCGTTGGGCTCCCTGTGGCTAAACTCGAGTACGGCTAAGCCTTGCATAAGTTAAACAATAAACTGATCAGTCTATTTTCAGGCCGAGTGTGTCTGCCCAATGTTGCAACCTACAGCGTCGCCAAATATGGCGCCGAGGCGTTCAGTGATGCTATTCGCCGTGAACTCGTAGCATTTGGAATAAAAGTCAGCATCATTGAGCCCGGATTTTTTAACACGGAAATGACCAACCCTAAAATACTGGAGAAAAGCTGGGCAGACTTATGGGACAGCCTTGACAAGGAAGTAAAGGAAGAGTATGGAGAGCAATACTATCAAACCTGTAAGTCAATCATTTCATATCAGTTGGGTTACCTGTGGTGGTTAATGGGCAGAAAGGGGCCTAACTCAAGAAAGTGCCCTTAGTCCCAATCTCTTGCTCGACAAATATATATTTTTTGTTTAAAAAGACCTTTTGATATTTTTAAATCTATAAATTCATTCTTATTTTTAAGGTGTCAAAAACATACTGTCTGGTGTAGTGGACATCTGCTCTTCCCCACACACTTACAAAGTCATTGACGCTATTGCGCATGCTCTGACCTCCACCAATCCCAAGCCACGGTATGTCATTGGTTGGGACAGTAGGTTACTATGGATATGGTTGTCAAGGCTACCAACACGTGTAGGTGACTTCATACTCAGTCTTCTTGGTGAAAAGGCTACGCCTGCAAGTACGCTTCACAAGTCCTAAACACAGTTTTTTTCAGAATCCCAAAAATGTTACAGTAGAGACATTTAGCATTAGGTATACCGCTAACCGTTAACTGCTAAGGATCAGACCCCGAAACACGCCCGCAAACACGTAGAAACACTCAGCATAAGCGATATTCAATAAGGCGGCTCTCTCAGTAACAACTTAGTTATGACGCTTTGCTAAACGTTGAAAGTGGACGGAAAACACCTGAGGTACTTGAAGATTGAGGAGCTAGCAAGAGCGTCATACTTTGGGTCTCTAGTGCTTGTGTGTAGCGCAAAAAAATATATATATACAACGATAACGAAAGTAAAATGCTTTTTTTTTTCTGGAATTCTTTTGGTCATATATAGATTTTTGCCTTAAGTTTTTTGAATAGTGTTTTCAAGACAGCTCCGTTGAATTTTCATGTTGGTTACAAATCTCATCGCACGCATATAGTAAATAACTTTACATATGGGTATTTGTGTGAGATATTATTATAACTCATATTTAAAATGCTCTTTCTCTTTCTAGCTGCCATGTAAAGAATGTCTTCACGATAAATAGATATAGAGCTATCTTTAAAAGGCTTCGCCCCGAAATGCCCTATGGTCTATATTAATCCAATCAGCGAAAGGTCATAACGATTTGAAATTTTCTTAAATTTTGTCTACATTTTTTTAGAAATATTTTCTTTTGTGCCGACGTTTACTAAGCTTGAAATCATGTATTACAATCATATCCTACTGAGTTTTAAATAAATATAATACATTCGAACAAGCAACAGAACTGATTTTCGCCAACCATTTTAAAAGTAGCTGCATACTTTAAAGTCAAACTAACTCCTTGAAATATTTTGTATAAAGTCGGGGTTTTTTTGTTTTTGTTTTTGTTTGTTTTTTGTTTGTTTGTTTGTTTGTTTTCCGGTGTAATTCTTAAGTAAGAAAATGAAAATCTCACCTGACTAACTTAACATTTGACGTCATACCCAAACCCTCCTTCGAAATTTCCCGGAGAGAAAAACCGTGCAACGCCGGGACCACATTCCCAACGACAGCAACACCTACATTATCAGAAGACTGCCATACCATATGGGTGAAGTCTTCCGTTCCTGGGACGCCATTTGGTGATGCGCATGCGCCTTTGGCTTTATAGATTTCGTACTCTCTGTACCTAAATGATCATGCTTTGTTTACTGGTGGGAAAAAATATCCTCAAAACTGGCTAATTCAAAAACTAACCACACAGAGCGAAAGAAGTGTTATTTCTCAATGATCGGGTAAAATTTCGAGGCTTTATTTCACGTTTCAATGATTTTATTGAAATTTTTGATGAATCCCCATACATTTCCTTATAGCAGGACACCACAGAAACCAAGCTTGGGCTACCTGTGGTTGCAATACGCCGCAAACTGAACCTGAGTCTTTTATAGCCAAGATTGCATAGTTGAATGCTCTTTTTATTACTTTTAATCAACAATTAGAGACTGTTTCAAACAAATAACGAACAGCAGGACTGCAAGCTTCAAGAAAAGGTTATCCATCGTTTGTTCGCAACACAATATACCTTTTTCCCGCCATTAGTTAATTATTGAAATTGTGACGATTTGGCGCCTTTAGTAAGTATTTCAGAAGTCTATGAAAAATTACTCAATTTACAAAAGTTCTAGTTGTAGAGGTGAGGATTGCTCTCTATGGTAACGGTGTCTACTTTTGAGTGAACCGGTGCTCAGCTAGCAAGAAACATTGCAGGAAAAGTTCGAGGCAAAGTTCGTACGTTTGTGACCTTGACTATTTACTGATCGGCAGACCATCCGTGTCGCGCGCAATTTCCACTTCATTTACAAGCCGACTACAGTGAAGGGTGGAAGCCAAAATAAACAGAAGGTAAAATCTTTAATCTTTAGATCTAGTTATAATGAAAATCGTCGTACAATTGTTTTGAACGATAGGATCTAGTGTTATGGGACGACCGCTCTCGGTACGAGCTCCGGGATCTTTATTCTACTTTCAGTTCTCTGTGTTAATCTCTATTAATTAGAAAACTGATGTCTAGCTTAGGCTGTAAAAACATTGATTTTCTCTCTCATAACACTAGTTCTAAGGGCGCAATTGAGGAGAAAAAGCTTGACCATCGCATAGACTGGTCATCAATATAAAATGACTAAAACGACTAAAATGATCAGAAAACAATGTTTCCAAAAGTCTTTGTTTTGCGAAGAAAGCAAATAGTTTCCATGTTTCAGCTCATACGAATTTTCGATTGTTAAATACTAATTTGCTAAGTTTTTATTTTCAGTTTATTTGACATTCGACGGATTTCGTTTTTCAACTTACACTCATATTTTTTACTAGATCCAAAAATCATTAAGTGGAAAATATATTTGAAATAGAACTATTGATCCATGCGGCAAAAGGGTAGCCTTTGTCTATTATACGCAAGATAAAATGCTAAAAAGAGCTACAATGTGGAGTGCCCCAGGTTCCGTACTTGGTCTGATAGTCATGACCTTGATTACTGCATTTTTTWAAACCTAAATCACATCAACAACTCGTCATCACGTTTTGAAGCTTGTATTAATGAGACTTAACTTGGTTAGTGCACCATATGTTAACTATCAATTGACTTTGTTCAAGTCTTCTTCTTCAGCAATGAACATCAGTTTCGGCGAGAATATTCACTTGGTTTCCGTCATTTTCGATCAACACGTTTTTAGAACAGCATGTATCCAATATATGTAAATTATCGTACTACCAATTACGTAACATTGTTAATAAAATTAGGGATTGTCTCGCGGTTAATATCAGATATAGAAACATCAGTTCCAGCTTTCATTACTTCTAAACTTCATAATTGTAATTCGCTACTATATAAAGTCTAATTATACGCTCATCAATGCAGCTGTTCCTAAAAATTCCACCTCCAAAATTATTATTGTTATCTAAAGGAAAACCGCCATCGTTTTTCTTATTAATTTCATTTGTTTGTAATCACAATCCATAACAATACTACCTAGAAAATTCCACTGCAAATGGACGACGTGCAGACAAGATTCGATAGATTCCCGCTCTTTTATTCCCGCTCTTTTTTTCCCGCGCAAAAACGGCCACAAATCGCGCGTGTTGATCCTTGCCAAGAAGTCTTAAGAAGTCTTTGTTTTGTTTTGTTTTGTTTTTGTCCTTTTGCCGGAATTATTATGTTTATTGTTTGTTGGTTTAAGATTTCCAATGCAAAACATTCAAGTTAAGTCGTCAAAACAATATTCAACGGGGAAAAAGCTGATTTACTGGTGTCTGGTATTTAGACTCGATACTCAAAATATCGCAACAAAAAAGAGAAAAAAAGAAAAAAAAAACTAGAAAAATATTAGATAAGCAATATATAGTAAAAAGAATGTGTTTAGAGTTTACCGACATAATGGAGTTTTAGCGCAGAGTACGTGCGTGCCTTGCTGCGACTGATGTTTTCTAGAATTTTGATTGGTTGATTTTTTCTCGCGCAATGTGATTGGTCTACTGGCAGTGCCGTGACCTTGATGATCGTGTCCGCGTCGTGTTCATGCAGTGTTTCGAGTATTTGATTCGATGGAAGCCTGTAGTAGATTCCTAGCCTCTCTTATTTGACCTCTTATTATGAGCGATACATTTTGTAGTCTCTTTTCTTTAACCCGCTAGCTATTGATAACCCAAGAGTTGGMTATAAGTATAATAAAAATAAAAATAAATAAGCGCAATAAGATTGGTCTGGCGTATGCCTTGCCGTGTCACGACCGTGTTCATGCCGTGAGCTTTTTACGGTCATACGAAAACTGCTATCTGTGAACACAACATGAAAACCACTCCTTCATTCATGTTCCAAACGAACAACTTTGCATAGTTACTATAATCAAAAGAGATAAGCATAACTAGGTATGCATCAATATCGACAGAACAAAACACAGTTTTTAAAAACAGCCTCAAGGGTCGGTATCATTTGAATAACGGGATTCCCGCTGGCAATCATATCAGTATACGTTGTTAATTGACTAAACCTTCTCTATAAAAAGGGTTAGAGGTCGTTGAAGAGTCATACTTTGCTGAATTCAGTATCACAGTAACAGATCCAAGCCACGATCAGTTCACACCCAACTCACGAGGATCAAAAACCTGAAGGTTAGTTAATAGTTAATAGTTAATAGAGGGGGACAACTATGGTAAAATCGAATTCMTATTTACTCTTTATTCCATCAATCTAGACTTGCTTCGAACTGACTTTTTTTGGAGTAAGTTCAAGAACGATAAAGAAAAGAAAACCTATTTCCTGTCCGAAGCTTCAGAAAAGCATCAGAACTAGAAACCGTTATTCAATGAAAGGTTTTTCGGGCGTTTTTGTTTTTGTTTTTGACTCTTTCGACGGACGACACCTGATAAATGAACATGAGCTCGACATTTTGATCTTATGTAGCGTCCGCTTAATAGAGGGTGTCCGCTTAATAGAGGGTATCCGCTTAACAGAGGTTTGCTTAATTCACGAAATATCAGCCAATAGAGCAGGTGAGGTGCATGTCATTGCCACCATCTTGGTTGACGCTAACGAAGCCTTCCTAGCTTTTTTTGTTAGATCAACCAAGATGGCGGCTGTTCATCGTTAATCATATCTCAAGGGATTTTGAGTCACATGGTTGCACACACTCTATTGTTAACTTTCAGTTGTTCAATTCCAATAATTGACGAAGTATTGAACCTAAACACGGTATGTGTAACTTTCATCATCAGTAATTAAATTCGATATCTGGTGTCTGTTGGGCTCGTAGTTTAAAGTTCCCGTCCACTTTAATAGAGGTATCCGCTGAGTATAGAGGTAAAACTGTTCATCAAATGTACGGAGAAAGAGAAAAAACTCACTGAAAAGGGCAGTGAAATTCAGTCTATACATAAGCAAGACAAATATTAAGAGATAACTAGCTAAAAACTAGTGTGAGCTGCGTCGGTGTTTCTAATGAAACATTAATGATAAAAATGTAAATTATACACCGTGAAAAGATGAAAAAACTCACTGACGTTTCGGACGCTAGTCCTTCATCRGAGTAAAAGAGGGACAAATATCACTGTAGAAGTTCTGTCGTTTCTTATTGAAGATACCGACCTCATGTGGTTTTATTACGCTTTATTGATTATAGATATATATAGTGAAATAATGGAGAATATATACAAATAATACAAGTTAAAATCACTGAAAAGTTAACCTCCTTAGTTGACTGCGACAGAATTTTAGAAAAAAAATTCCAGATACAAAAAACCCAAAAAATTTAAACCTTCAGTACACTAACGGCTGATCCCGTCACATATTCTGTCATGTGTTTTTATAAACTTTCTTGACTTTCTTTTCATCACGGCATCTTACTTCGGTCACGAACTCCCCAGGAAAGTTCCCTGGGGGGTGGTAGCGCGCAACAACAATGTCATCCACCACGGCTACCCCCAGGCGTTCGGTGAACTTCCACACCAGCTGGGTGAACTGGCTTGTGAAGGGAGGTGCATAGTCAGGGGCTGCTTCGCACCCTCCTGCTTCACGGTATCTGTCATACTCACTGTACCTAAAATACATCATCGAGGAAGGGTTAAGGATAAGGTTCAGGGGGGGCCGATATTGAGGGGTGGGGTTACCCGGCACCCCATCACTTCTGGGAAATCTTGGATTTTGTCAAATGTCTTTAAAACTATATAAAAGTCAAATCGCTGAATAAATGTACTTTCAGTTTGCATGTAACTAGGAAGACCCAAACATTGAGCATTTCAACAGGCCTTTGATGGGTGAGGAGGTATTTATCTATAGTATAACTGTTGGCACTGCTTGTCCCATACTCTTGATTTTATTTCTTACACATACGTAAAACGTA